CCTTGAGTATCACCAGCAGTCCAATACGAATCGTCGACCATTGGCGACATCGTCGTCGTCGCCGTCATCGCCGCGAGTCCGGTTCCGCACCGTCATGGCATGTCTGCGCGTCGAGCGGCAATGCACGCGGATCCTCAACACCGTTGGCCTCGTGGCCACCGGCACTTACCACCAACTTCCGCATTCGCCCGTCCTGCGGCATCTCGCCCAAGTCGCGTTTTGTCTGACAATAGCGGCGCCATTGACCATCTTGGTGTCGCCCGTGTACGCAGCCGCGGTGGTCGCGGGCCGGATAATCGCGGCGTCCAATCCAGTATCTTCGGTTCCAGTACCCGTTCCCGGAGCTTCCATGCTAGACGCTTCGTCGTCCATGCTCGACGCTTCTCTGTCGTTGTCCGGATCACACCCATCGTCAGCGGCGGTGGGACGCGACCAGGTCAGGACGCTTGCCCTCGATCTAAATCGGTCCATCAAGTCATGATTTGTCCGCCTTCCCTCTCCGACAGGGTTGGGTTGTTTTGGGGTGCGGGTACCTGGCGTGCCTTGAACAAGGATTGTTGCAGTGTTCTTTTGTTGTTGTTTTTGTGCCAAGTCTTGGCGGCTAGCCCACGTTCTACCAAACTTCAACCCTGGCTTCCCTGTCGGGCCAACAGCCGACGAAAAACAACGAACCAAAGGACTCCGGGTCTAATAGATACATTTGAATAACACAATATTGCCCACCAAAGTAAAAGATGGAAGATGGGTCCACTTGGACTCTAGACGAGCCCGACCGCCTTGGCCGCCCACGCGCACCACCCCTGATCCTCATCAGCAGCCGGCACAGCCTCGGTATCGACCCACCGGTCAGCCTCAGGCCTCGCCCGTCCCTCGCGCCAGCTGCACCAAGCGGCGACATCGTGGACGCCTTGAGGTACTTGCCATGCCCCCTCGTCGACTTCAAGGACATCGTTTTCGCCGACACTGACTTGCAGCCGCACGACTTTGGTAACCAGCGCCAGCGCGTGTGCGCCGCACTCGGCCCCACACGTCTCGCACGATGCGCGCGCGCGTTTCTCGGCCGCCATGGCCGATGCTTCCGATTCATGCCCGGCCCACCAGGCGCGGGACAAGCCGTGCACCCAGAATAGGCGCTGGCGCGCGAAATCGACGGCCACAGTCCCCGACGAAACGGCGGTGACGAGCCCCGGGGAATGCGCGCCGCCGTAGTGCAGCCACGGCAAGTACACTTCGGTGGTGTGTGCGCGAGGGACGATGGCGGATGGGTCGACGCCGGCGGGGATCGGTGGGGCCGTGTCCGGAACACATGGCGGCAAGTCCACCGAGGTTATGGATGATGAGCGGCATGAAGCGCACACGCGCTCGGATCGGCGCACGACCAAGTCAAAGATGCGGCGGTCGACGTCGAATCCGACGACCAAGGGCTCGCCCGCGGTCGCCAATGGCACAGGCCGCAGGAGCGTGCGTGCCGGCCGCGGCGCGCCGGCGTGCACGACGCTCAAGTCCTCGCCGTTCCACAAGTCGCCGAGCCCGCGCTGGTTCTCGGGGACGTACGTCCACAGGGTGGCGTGCAGCGCGTTCAAGTCCAGGGCCGCCAAATTCCCGTCGAGTGCGCGCCTGGCCTTGGCGCTGGGCACCGTCGTCGTGGGCGGGTCCATATCGAACGGGATCCCGATTTCGCCCATCAGTACGGGCACGTCGCCCAAGTGCTCGCGGGCCTCGTCGCGGACCAGCGCCAACGAGTCGACCATGCCGCGCCGTACTGACCGCGCACCCAGCCGGAGCCCGGTGATCCAGTTGCGTTTTCCGCGCTGAATGTGTAAGAAGTCGACATTGTACGGCCATACGTGCTTAGTGATGAGTGTGAGACCATCGTACCAGTGCGGCGCGTAGACGAGGTCGCGGATCTGTGCTGGGTCCACGTCGGCCGGTGGGACTGTCATGGACTCGGGGACCGCGAGGTGTACGTGTGGGGGTAGCGACCGCATCACTTGTGTTGACGCTGGAACCAGGCCCGCGGCGCTGCCGGCGACCGACGACGGCACCGACGGCTTGTCGCTCAAGTCAATGGTAGCCGCGGTGGACTTCCGAGTGCCGCCCCCATTAGCGCGGGTGCCGAACAACGCGCTGGGCGACGGAGCAGTCAGTGCGGCCGCCGACACCGCGCCCGCCGACCTGCGGCGGTCCTCGGCGCGTCGGCGCATGCCCTCGCGCACGTGTGGTGGCTCCTCGTTAACGGGTGGGTCGAGGAACATGATCGTGCACCGGTCGATGGCGCGTAAGGCGCGCGTGAACCGCATGGCGAACCGCATCCAGTACGTGTTGGTGAACGCCTCAGGTGACACGATCCACCCGTGCGCCGGGTCGCGGTGAAAGTAGTCCGGCCGCAAGGCGCACTGGTCGGGGGTGGGGGCCATTGGGTCGTACACGCCGTGCGCGGCCCAGATACATCCGCCAGCAGGGAAGTGCGTGTACGCCGGCGGCGGGGTCACGGGGTCGCACCCGGCCGATAACGGCAGCCGCTGCACGTGCACGCGCGTGCCCATTACCTGAGCGGCGGCCAGGCCGGCAACGTGCAGGTCCAAGGGGCTGGGCCGAGTCTCGAGCCACGCCGAGACCCCGCGGTCGTTGAGCGACGTGGACCCAGACGGCACCGGGCCGCACCATGCGATCGAGTAATTGGCGACGCCCTGCACGAACCGGCCAGATCCGGCCAGCAGCGCTTCGGCGGGGGTCGGTGTGGGGCCGTTGCGCAGCGTCTGCCACGGCAAGAACGCCGATAGGTCCGGGCACCCGATCCAGCCCGGGTTGGGCTCGTTGAACGTGTCCCATCCGAGCACCGTCGGCAGCAGTGGTGCGTCGTTGGTCGGGGGGATGGCTGTCAGACCGGCGGCCACCACGCGCGAGTGCAGGTACGCCATGGCGTGGATAAAGTGCCACTGCAAAAAATCCTCGACCGAGTACTGCCGCGTGCCTGATTGCGTCTGTGCCGCTGAAGAGGGAGCCCCATCCCGACGCACGCCCTCGGCGGCCTTGTCTCCACGCGGGTAGTCCGCGACGGTAAGCCGTGGCGCAAAAGCGCGGCCGCCAAAGAACAGCGTAAACATGGTCGCCGCCGCCAGCTTGTAGTAGTTGGTCTGCCAGATCATTTTCGGATACTGGTCGGGCGCGCGGGCCTCGCGCTCGCACCATGCCGCGTGCACGAACGCGGCTCCACTATCGTGCAGCGCGCGGGCATCGAGCCCGACCAGCCGCATCGTCCACCCGGGTGCGCCCGACCCGCCAGCGAACCGCGACCACACGTCCTGGTGCGGGTCGAGCACGCACGCGATATGGTTTCGTTCCGCGGCCTTCAGCACTTGCACCACATACTCGACATACTCGTCGTCGTACAATCCGGGCCCAAAATGCTCCACGGCCTCCCAAGTGACCAGGAACCGCACCACCGAAAACCCCCACGACCGGAGCAGTGCGAAGTGCGCGTCGGCGTCCGCCAGCGCAAACGGGCGGCCGACAAACGACACTTCGAGGTCACGAAAGAAATCGGCGCCGACGTGCGAGGGGAGCAGCGGGACCATGGGCAGCTTGCAGTTGCCCGACAGATTGACCCCACGAAGCAGCAAGCGGCGGCCGTCGCGGTCCACGAACCACCGGCCCGCGAGGCTCGGGTGCTGGTTGGGCGGGCCCACCGGGTCGTCTTCGGGGTCCATGGCCATGGACGTCGTGTCGGGGCACGAGTCGCTATCGCCAGTGGCAGTGCGCGAGCGAGACGGCAGCGGCGGGGCGTACAGCGGTGGGGGCGGGGGAGATGGGCGTTTCATGGACCCGTTTCCGCCGTTTCCGTCGTTTCCGCCATTTCCGGTTCCATTGGCAGGTGACGGGGGCGAGTCCATTCCGTACACGGCCGTGTCCTGCGACGAGACGGTGGTCCAGGTGGCATGGATCGCTGCTGCTGGGTCTGGGTCTGCTAATGAGGACGGCGGATGGGAGCTGTACAATCCGGGCGGTGGGTCCAGCGTGCGCAGCGGTGGGGACGTTGCGGTCGGGTCGTCGACGAGGTGCGCCGACTGTCGTTTGCGTAGTTCGGCCGGATGCAGTGGGTCGGTCATTTTTTATTTTATCGTATTTGTTAAGGGAAAAGCAAAGTATGCGATTCAATGGGAAGGTCATTCATATTATTATGCAGCCTCACCACCCGCAGCCACAAACGGATTGTCAATCTCCTCCAGACCGTCGGCGGGGGCAATGGTCATGACCGTGGGCCCGCGTGCGACCAACATTCCGAGCGACCGCTGCTTTTCGATGATCGTGTCTTCGGTTTCCTCTATATTTTGTAGATCTCAGTACTCGTCCGTGATCCAACATATTTAAAAAAAAAAAAAAAAATTTTACAGTACCGCGAATCGTCTCGACCGTCTCGTCCAGGACCAGATTGCTGAGGGTGTCAAAGCCCTTGAGCACGCCGACCACTTTTTACAATATAATCAGTCAGTCAGTCCGCAATACAAGACGCGTCAAGCTAATTAGAAAAGTATTACCCTCGCGCCCGCCCACAAACTTGACCTGAATCTGCTTGTCCATGTACTTTGACAGGTCCAGAATGTTGGTGCGCTCGCGTGGACCACTGCTACTGCCACCGCCGCCCGAACCGCCTCCACGTCCACCACCACCACCACCACCACGGCCACCACCGCCCCGCCCACCACGATATTGTTGTTGGTCACTGCCACCGCGGCTGTATCCGCCGCGCGCACCAGTCGAGGGTCGAGAGTCCATTTTTTCTTGATTATATGATTATTGCTTTTTTTTGCGCGAAAGAAAGGTAAATGATCAAGCAGGCACGCGTTTTCAATACACTCCAATATTCATTCTTGTCCACTGTAGCATGGCCAGCAGTCTCGATAACAAGCACGCGGACGGAGAAGGTTACTCCAAAGGAGACTTGACGAAGGAAAATGGCCAAAAAAACAAGTACTTACCAAATGAAGGAGACTGAGCAAGACAACGTGCCCGAGTGGTCTAAGGGGGTGGACTTGAAATCCACTAGGCTCCGCCTGCACAGGTTCAAACCCTGTCGTTGTCGTTTTTTTTTATTACCTTTGAATATATTCCTAAATGTCGTCGGCTGGATTGCGACTTGCCGCCTCCTTCAACTGACCCAGCACCCCACCCAATGTCTTTTTCTTGGAGATCTTGATCGTGAGCACCGACGTGGACCGGGTATCGGCCTCAGGTTCCAAGTCCTTTTATATTTTTTTTTTCAATATCAGCGTCTGCTCGTCCAAAGGAACAAGTAACCAGAGAAGAAAGGTACCTCGTCCTCATAATCCATATCGTCCACCACCTGCTGCGTGCCCGTGGTCACTTCCATCACCAAGTTCCCAAGGGACTGAGCTGCAAGCGTGGTGGCAATCTCGGCCGCCTTTTGGATCGCTTTGCCCAAGCCGTGAATGTAAATGTGCGGTTGTCTAGTTGCGTTTTTAGCGTTGTAGTTGGCCACAATGAACCAAAAGAGTATCGTACTGCTGCAGGTCAAGCAGAGTTCGTGCCCGTGACAAGTACGCGCGCGTGGAAGTGCCACCGGCTTTCACGTAAATGTCAACGGGCGACGGTGGAGCGCGGACTGCGGCGCGACGCGTGCGCTTGTCTGTTATATTTGTACATAGTGAGGAGCACGTCCTCCGTCATGAATGCAATGAAATATTTACGCGTCTTGTGTGCCATGGGCGGCCGTGACCTCTTGCGCGAGGTCGCTTTCGTTGGAATCTCTTCCATTCCTCAAAATTATTGCGATAAATTGCTCAATTGAAGAAAATAGAAAGAAATGGCATCGTCGTTCTACGTGGTCGGCGCGCACGACGCAGCCACCCGCGTGCGCCTGTCGTTCGACTCGCGCTCGGATCCCGTCGGCAAGTACCGCGAGCGCGCTGCCGCCGCCGTCGGACTCGCATTGCCCGTACGCCTCGTGTTTGCTGGCCGCTTTGTATGTCGTCTAAATCTCACACGCATTTGTGCATATAAAACCAGTACTCAAGTCTCGGTAAATCAGCTCCAAGACGAGGACTCGCTGCTCAAAGTCGGCATCGACGCCCATGCCGTGGTCATTGTCATGCCGGGTCTCCGGCCTCCGCCAACACCGATTACCACCGCAGATCCTGCCATTATGGACACAACAGCTGCCGCTGCGGACGCGTCCCCTGCGGCATCCGTATCGTCCCTGTCTCCACCGGCTTCGTCCTCGCCAGCAGCGTCTTCGTCAGCTGCACAACTGCTACTACCTCTCAAGGGCGAGATCCTGGTCGATAACCGCGACTTGGTCCTCGGTTCATCGTGGGTGCTCAAGGAACCGCACCCGCCTGCGCCTTTATCCGCTTCCAAATCGAGCGAGAGCATGAAAATGGACCGGCTGTGGCCCGACGACGACGACGGGCCCGGAAACGATTGCGCCAAGTGCAAGGTGCGGGAACCGCTGTCCAAACACCCCACCTGCAGCGTTTACGGATGTCCCGGGTGCCAGCGGCTGGACTGCGAGCTGGATTTCATCGAGTGCGAGGAGTGCCATTGGCGGTACCACTGGTCGTGTGCTGGGATCAAGGAGTTGGGCGAACTGGACCCGGAGTACTTGCCGGCGGACCCCGAGGGCGGGAACGCGTACCCGCCGTTCCAGAACTGGTATTTTTGTCGTCTTCCCTTTTTCGATCACACTAAAGAAACAACAAACATATACAATAGGTACTGCCCGCGATGCACCAACAACCAAAGCATCTCCAATGCGGGCCACAAAAGCAAGGGCAAAGCGTTCACGTCCGGCAAAAAGCTAGGCGGCGGCCACTCGACGTCGCGAATCGAGGCCGGAATCTCGCGTCTGATCGACACCCCGACGCACCGTGGCGCTGTTCCCGGCTTGATACCTGGCCAAATGTGGATGTACCGCAACCTAGCCTGCAGCGATGGCGCGCACCGCGACACGGTTGCCGGGATCTCAACGGCCGGCGAGTACGGTGTCTCGATTGTGCTAGGCGGCGGGTACGCAACCGACCGCGACTACGGGTCGTGGATTCTGTACACTGCGTCGGGCGGGACCGATCTGGGCGGCGACGACGGCAACAGGAACCGGCGGGTCGCGCAGCAGACCAAGGACCAGGAGGAGCAGTTGACGGGCCGGAACTTGCGGCTGGCGCGCACGTGTGCGGGTGCACTGGATCCGAAGGTCGGGTGCGATGCGGGCGGGGGCTGGCGCGCGTCGCAGCCGGTGCGGGTGATGCGGTCGGCGAAAGCGCGGCTGTCCTTGAATGGCCACGAGCCGTCGCGGTACGCGCCGCTGGAAGGCATTTCGTACGACGGGATCTACAAGGTGGTTCGGGTATGGCGCACGCGTAGTCCCAAGACCGACCGGTTCGTCTGGCAATACTTGCTGCGGCGCGACGACCCGACCCCGGAGCCGTGGACACGCGCCGGGCTCACGTTCATTGACCGCATGAACCTCAAGCCCGTGTACTTTAGCGACGTCGGGCATTATCCGACCCGGCTTGCGGCGTTTATGGCCGAGCAGCTGCCGCAGTTAAATGGGGGTGCGTCGTCGACGACAACGACCAAGTCCAAGCGCGCGCTGACGGTCCGGTCGATTCGCGAGCTGCGTTCGCGGGACCCCGTCGAGTCGGCGCAGCCCCCACTGCACTTATTGGGCAACTTGCGGCACGCGCCCGAGTTTGCCGATGTCCCCTATACTTGTGGCGGGCCGCGGTCGGTGCGTAAAGCACCTCCGCCGGTCGCCGAGCGAGTTCCGCTTGACTCAGCCAGTGACGACGATGTCAGTGACGTTGATATCGACGAGTGGCCGCTCCCCGACGGCTTCGAGGCAGCGATTGCGGCCGAGCAAGACCAGCGGCGGCTCGAGTGGACCGAAGCCATGGGAACGTTGCCGCACCGCAACTTGCGGTGCCTGGTTCGTGCGGCGGTCCCGATCTACGAGTGCCAGCTGAGCTGTGGCCGGTCGGCGGTGCGCGCGTCGTTCCCGCCGTGTGGGCACTTGATGTGCGCGCCGTGCTGGCGCAAGTACGCAAGGCTCGAGCGGTCGGAAACGTGTCCGTCGTGTGGGGTTGAGCATGGTTCGTCCTTACTTTTTTCCTTATGGTGGTCAAGTGGCTGACCATCTTTTGTTTTGGGCAAAAAACAGGCATATCCACGCGAGCGGCTGACTTGCCGACCGACGACCGCGCAGCAGCAGTGCTGGCGGCGCTGGGCGTACCCGTGTGGGGGTCGCAGGCGATCGAAGATGCGCGGCGGCGTCAGCAACAGCAAGGGACAGCACCGACACCGGCATCAACGTCACGCAAGCGGGCTCGGGGCAGCAGCTCGGATCGGCCGGAATCGACGCCGTCGCGGCCTCCGCGGCCGCCGTTGCGATCGGGAACGCGGACATCGTCGCGGCTGCGGGTGCGTGCCTCAGTGGAGGGTGATGATGCTGATGAAATGGCCGAGGAAGCAGCAGCAGATGGCGATCCGTCGTCGTCGTCAGTGGTGGCAGTGTCGCTCGAGTAATACAATTATATTTGACATGTCCCCTCAGGATTCCGGTCTCGCGGCCCATTTCCACTGATGTGCTGGATCCAAATGTAGTTCTATATATTTTTCTTATGGCACTCACACAAATCCGCCAGCTCGGCGCGTCACTCCCATTTCTACTTCTTGCAACAAACGGTGCGCCTTAAAACCAACCCCAACGACGAGTCGCGGCGCGTGCAATCGGAGGCGGGAATGGCTTGGAAGAGACCTCGATCACAGGCGGTGCGGGCATCGTTGCGCGTTCCACATACTGGTGAGGGTAAGGGTGGTGCACCGGTGCGGACGGGTAAGGCATCGGAGAAGACGGCGCAGCCAAGGGCGACGCGACCCAAATGCCATCTCCAATGCCACATTTAGCCAAAACCATAATCCATTGCCACAAAATCGTATAATAATATAATCCGTTATTCCAGCCAAGAAAGCGCGACCCGCTGCAACTCGGGCGTGGCAAACCGCGGGACAAACGGCACGCAAATCACCTCGTCCCATCCCTCGGTCTCGGCGTCCGGGGCCTCGAAACGCGATTGAAACGTTCGGATCGCATACTATTGCTGCCACCGATGGGTTTCAAGTCGTCGACAATCAACAACAAATAAGATATAGTTGTTGTATTCACCAAAAAAAAAAAAAAAAATTCCATCAATTTGAGAAGCCAAGGGACACAAGAATGTCCGGTTCCGCCTCTGATTGCATCAATACTGTGATCCCGCGCACGATGACATCTTCCATTCAAAGGCTCATAGTCGGCGAGAAGTGCATGGCCGAATCGTTGCGCAGGAATACGATCGGGTGTCCTCCGGCAAGACGCCGTTGGAGCCACCATTCAGTGACGGCGCCTGTGCCATTGCGAAAAAGGGCGCTCCACTCGTCCGGTGGCAGTGGCAGGAGCGATTCAATCGAGACGCCATTCCAAGCACACAGCCACTGCGCAATGCTCAAGTTTGCCGGTGGATACTAAGTCACATCATCCATATCATAATCGGGTGCAACCTCAGCCACGAAATCGAGAGAATGTGCAGCTGGACAAGAATCGTCTGAATCAAAAACGAAATCGCATGTCAGATCGGGCCGGGCCGGTGCGGAGCCAATTTTGGGTATTCACCATGTTGCCATAGATCGCCATTTTGCACACACACTGTCTCCATTCCCATCGTTCTGTTGGCAGTGTCATTGCGTTCATCGTTTTGCAATTCTCCATATCAGAATCGTCAAAGGGTGGGTATGTATCCAGCAAGGAGTGGGCGTGCGTGCGTGGATTGTGCAGGATCAGCCAAGCCCTGCTGAGCGACGCGGATTTTTTTCCCGTGAAATTTCAACCACCAGCTGGTCGTAATAATGCAAAATGCAATCGAGGGGCTCCACTCGGCAACATAATTTGCATATATCGATGAAGTGCGAGGAAATCGCTAGTTTGAGACCAATAAGCGCGCTCTTTGTTACCCACCAGTGTGTCAAGTCCACCATTGGGGCACCAAACCAAGCCAATCGAGGCAGCTTCAAATCGCGCCAGTCTGAAGC